TTTTCCGACCCTTTCCTATCACGTATTTCTACGTCAAACTCTTGTAACAACAAAATACACCGAATTATTCTTGGTTTAGATTGCATTTTACTCAATAAGTACCTTAAAGCAGCATGGTCTGAATGCACAATAACTTTAGAACCTAAAATGTAGGATCTAAATTTTTCAAGAGAGAATACGACTGCTAAAAGTTCCTTTTCAGTGGTTGTGTAGTTAAGTTGGGCTCCACCAAGGGTTAAACTAGCATAATAAATTACACGAAGTAATTTATCAACTCGTTGACCCAAAACGGCCCCGACTGCATGATTTGACGCATCACACATGATTTCAAAAGGCAAAGACCAATCAGGAGCAACTACAATAGGTGCAGTCACAAGCTTATTTTTCAAAGTATTGAAAGCATTTAAACATGCCTCATTAAATACAAAAGGCACATCCTGAGAAAGCAAGTGACACAAGGGCTGGCTTATTTTGGAAAAGTCTTTTATAAATCTTCGGTAAAAACCAGCATGACCTAAAAAACTCCTGATACCTTTTACATTTATCGGAGGTGGTAATTTTTCAATGACATCAACTTTAGCTTTATCAACTTCAATTCCTTTATGAGACACAACATGACCAAGTACGACTCCACTTTTTACCATGAAATGACTCTTTTCCCAACTTAAAGTTAGGTTTGTTTCTATGCATCTTTCAAGGACACAAGATAAACTGTGGAGACAGTTATTAAATGAATTACCAAAAACGGAAAAATCATCCATAAATACCTCCAAGCAGTTCTCAAGCATGTCGGAAAAAATAGAGAGCATACACCTTTGAAAGGTGCCTGGAGCATTGCATAGGCCAAAGGGCATACGCCTGAAAGCGAAAGTACCGTATGGGCATGTGAAAGTCGTCTTTGGTTGATCTTCGGGAGCAATGGCCCCTTGGTAATAGCCAGAAAGGCCATCAAGGAAGCAATAGAACTGTTGTCCGGATAGTCGGTCAAGAATTTGATCAATGAAGGGCAAAGGAAAATGGTCCTTCTTTGTTACGGCGTTTAACCGCCGATAGTCGATACACATGCGCCACCCGTTTGTTATTCGAGTGGGTACCAACTCTTTTTGATCATTTTCGATGACAGTGATTCCGCCTTTCTTCGGAACCACATGGATCGGACTTACCCATTCGCTGTCTGCAACGGGATAGACCAGTCCTTCCGTGTATAGCTTAATGATTTCTTTCTTGACTACCTCGCTCATGTTTGGGTTAAGCCGTCGTTGGCTATCCCGGAAAGGTTTGGCTCCTTCTTCTAGAACAATCTGGTGCATACAAGTTGCCGGACTAATTCCCTTTATATCAGCAAGGCTCCATCCGATCGCCTTTTGTTTTCTTTTCAGAACTTCAACTAACTCCTCCTACTGTTCTTCTGTGAGTTCTGC